CCTTAGTTTATAAAATGATAATATATTGTGATACCCTGTTCACCTAGATATCACATTCAAGAGTTAAACATCTTTCAAGATTATCTCCAGTTTTCACATTCTCTGTTTATTTGTTTACTTAGTCCACACATATTTATGTGCCAGCTATATGCTAGGTGCTAGAAATTCAACAGCTGTGGTCCTTGCCCTCCTAAAACTCACAGTTTATTGGGTGTTATACACAATTAAGCAGGCAATTATAATAAAGTGATATAATGTGACAATGAACAGTGCTGTGGTTGCTCATGGGACGGTTGCCTAACCTGGATTTGGGAAGTTGGGCAAAGTTTCCCAGAGGAATTGAAATTTAAGTTGAGAATCCAATGACTGGGGAGAACTGGATTAAGGAGGGTAAAGAGGAGTGATCCCAGAAGAAGGTATGTCCGCAGGCCTCAAGGGGAGAAAGAGGATCTAAATTGATGAGGCAAGCATGTTTGTGAGGGAGTAAATGAAGGAAAAAATGCAGGCAGAAGAGTAGGTATGCAGTGAAAGAGAATTTAATTTTGAACATGTTGAATTTGAGATGTCTGTGGAGTCAGTCCAGTCAGTGTCAGCTGTTGAGTATGTGAGTCTGGTGCTCAGAAAAGAGCTCTGGATTCACAAGGAAGCTCTGATGGCCAGTAAAGCCATGGACATTTTATTTCTTTGGCCAGTAGGGTCGCGTAGAGACAGGAGACAATGAATGGAATATGGAGAAACACAGAGTCCTGGGATCAAATGTGTAGAAACACAGAATTTAAAGCTATACAGAAGGTGGCCATCCATAAAAGGAATATGAGAAGAAACAATTAGAAATGTTGCAGAGCCATTTCGTGCTTAAAAATCAATGGAAGGAGGAGGAACAAGGAAGAGAGAGTAGTCAGTGGTGTCTTGTAGCACAGAGAAATGAGGAGAAATGAGGACAGAAACTTGTCCTCCTGATGAGGAGGAGGGAGGGAAGCTGTTAGTGACATTCATGAGAATCATTTCAGTGGTGTGATGAAGCCAGAGGGTGGCAAATTGGTATGGATAGAAGGTGAAGAAGTGGAGAAGGGTGTCTGTAGACAGCTCTTCAAGGAAGGTTGGCTGAGATTGGGGGAAAAGAGAGAAGAGGAAAATTGTTCCAGGGAGATAGGGGATCCAGGGATGGTTGTTTTTAAATGGGAGAGGCTTGAGAGTACTCAGTGTGGATGGAAAAGTGCTGGCAGAGGGGAAAGGGCTGACAATATTGGGGAAGGGCAGGGCCGAATTAGAGCAAGGTCACTGAGAAAACTGGGGTGGGTAGGACACATTCGTCATCCGCAAATACCTGAGTGCCAGCCATGTGATGAGACTTGGGCTTGGGGCAGGCTATTGAAGAGGGTGTTCTCTTCGTAAGACACCTCTTTTCTCTGTGAAGGTTAAGTGTTGAAGTTATCTGCAGGAGAGAGGCAATCCACAGTTTCAGGAAAGTTGAGAAGCTTCGAGATAAAGCTCCTGAGGAGAAGGGGTGAGGGGGAGAGCCAACCCAGAAATATCATGGAGTTGCCAGGCAGCTTTGGGAACCCAGAAGAGATGGAGAAGCACACATTCTGTGTGACTGCTGTCATCTGGACTGTGTGTCCAGATGGACTTCTTTAGCAGCAGCACTCAACAGCCCAAGTGCAGCCGTGGAAAGAGTAGACAGTGGAATCAGGCAGGGACGGGATTTGGTCAAGCTGGTGGGACGGAAGAAGAGTGGGTTAGAGGAATGTCGAGGTGAAGAACTGTATAATCTGAAGCTAGACACAGAAGAAAGCAGAATTGGATGAGGGTGAGAATTAGAGGGCTCAGGCCCTGGGTCCTGGTGAGGTCACAGGAAGAAAGAATGACTGAGGCAGAGAACTGAAAGGCTGGGAGGCGGTGGTCAGGATGTAGGGTTGAGTTTATTTCAGAGGTGGTGTAGTTCAGAGGGGTGTGTGTGTTAGGAGTGGAGGTAAGTGTCAGTAAGAATGAGACCAAGGCATTTAGGTTGTTGGACGGGTTGTCCACACGGACTTTGATGTCACGCAGAAAGATGATAGGGCCCCACTTAACCATCCTGCTCTCTGCTTAGTCCTCAATGAACAAGTTCAAGAGACGGAAGAATGGAGGTTGGAGATTACTGTAGCAAGTGGGAGTGGAGGCTGTTACATAAATTCCTGATGGCATAGCCTCAAAGCAATAGGACTTTTTGTTCAGGGTTGGAAGATGAATGTCCTGGAATTAGAATTGGGTTGCAAGGGGTATCCCAACCCACTTTCCAATCCTGAGGGAAGTAGAGATAAGGAGACCTTGGGAGAACTAGTGTTCAGTTAAAGCAAAGAGGGTCTTTGTGGGGTAGGGGTTGTGCCAGGGAGGGGATTTCTGAGGAAGGCTTGTGGATGCCTGAGAGCTTGTTGACTCTAACACTGGACCTGGGTTGGGCAGGGGAGCAGGGCAGTTCCACAGAGCACAGTGGACAGGTTTGGAGGGACAGAAGAAAACTTTTGAGCTAACTCTACAATAGCTGCTCAAAGGAATATGAAAAGCCCACTCAGCCACCCCAGCTCCACGTGGTTAGTGTCCTGGCATCCTGTTGCTCTGAAATAATAGATATCTTTATATTATATGTGCCTAACATGCATAATCCACATGCATTTGCAATGCCATAACATTGACATGTTTATTTTGTGTATTTTAACCTTTTAAAACCTAAGGTGAAGAAGAATCTCTAAGCAAATTAAAATGGTGGTATCTTTGATAACCTTGCTTTTCCTTAGGTGATGTTGATGACTACAGTGCAGAAGTGGAGGAACTTCTTCCTCAGCATCTCCAGCCATCTTCAAGTTCTGGCCTTGGCACTTCCCCGAGCTCTTCACCCCGGACCAGTCCCTGCCAGTCACCTACAATGTCAGAGGTTCCTGTACCTTCCCTTCCTGTCAGACCAAGCCGAGCACCATCAAGAACTCCTGGGCCTCCAAGTGCACAGAGTGTGTATTTTTTTTTTTT